TCACGCATGAGTTGAACTTCTATGTCCTTGATCAGTGCCCCTTCGACGCGGTTATTGGCTTGGGCTGGTTGCAGGCCCAATGTGAAAGAACCACGTGGAAGGACTCACAATTCATGGTCAAATATGCCATAGGAATCGAGCGTCCAGTCCTCTTGGATGAGCCGTGCGAGTCCCAAGTAACTTTTCTCAATGCAATGCAGTTCTGCAAAAAGTGGCGCAGGCTCAAAGTTGATGAGCAAATGTATATAGCCTTTGTTAGGCCTGCTCATGTGCCTTCTATTTTTGTTGTACATAATGATTCTACTTTGCATGTTGTTCTACTTCTGAGGCAACTACTTCTACCTCTACTAAATCTACTTCTAGTCCAAATGACTCCACTCCAATTTTGTTGTGTTGGCTGCACCTATGCAATCTGGTATGCTTGCACCTGAGAGTGATGATCCACCTCCGGAGATCCCATCAGAAATTCGCAACGTTCTCAACCGATTTCCAGAAGTCTTGGCCGAACCGCATGGAGTCCCCGTGCGTCCGGTCCGACACAAGATCGAGTTGATTGAAGGTAGCACTCCTCCAAAGGGTTGTGTCTATCGGATGGGCTCAGACGAATTGGAGGAGTTGCGAAGGCAAATTGATGATATGATTGGGAAGGGATGGATCAAACCAAGTGGGTCTGAGTTTGGTGCACCGGTTCTGTTTGTCCCTAAGAAAGGAGGCAAACTACGGATGTGTATTGACTATCGTGGATTGAATCGAATCACAAGAAAGAATGCATATCCTTTGCCACGTATCGATGATTTGCTTGATGCTGCAGGTGGATGTAAAGTCTTCAGCAAGATCGATCTCAAGTCTGGCTACCACCAGATTGAAGTCGATCCTGCAGACCAGCATAAAACTGCATTCAAAACTTGCGATGGGCTGTACGAGTTTACAGTCATGCCCTTCGGTCTCACGAATGCGCCAGCCACCGTTCAAAGTCTCATGGATAAGGTATTTCGCAATCAGATCAACCGATTTGTTGTTGTATATCTGGATGGCATACTAATCTTCAACAAATCGATGGAGGAGCACATGGGATATCTTGAGGAACTGATGTAGATCCTCAAGGACGCGCAGCTCCATCTCAACTTGGAGAAATCTGAGTTTGGGAGGGACAACGTCATCTACCTTGGACATCGGTTGTCTGCTGCAGGCTTAGAGCCCGAGGCAACCAAAGTTGAGGTCATCCGAAAATGGCCTCAACCCGCGAATGTTCGCGAGTTGCGTTCTTTTCTTGGTCTTGCGTTGTACTACCGTAAGTTTGTGCCCAAATTCTCTATCATCGCCCGTCCGCTGTCTAGACTAACAAGCAAGAATGTGTCCTACACATGGAATGAGGAATGCACGACAGCCTTCGACGCCTTGAAGGAGGCTTTGGTGAGTCATCCGGTGCTCCGCATTGCGGATCCCAAGCTTATGTTCGTAGTAACTACGGATGCAAGTTTGTATGGGATTGGTGCAGTGCTGCAGCAAGACGATGGTGATGGCCTACGTCCGCTTGAATTCTACAGCAAACGCATGCCCAGTCATAAGGTAGCTGCTTCCTTTTACATGCGAGAGCTCTATGCCTTATGAGAGGCACTGGATCATTGGAAACACTACCTCTTGGGTCACCATTTAAAAGTGTTTTCAGATCACGAGACTTTGAAATGGATTCAGACACAGATTAGTCCCTCAACCACATTGACCCGCTGGTTGCATGAGATTGATGTGTATGATTTTGAGATTAAGCACAAGAAAGGTTGTTACAATCGAGTTGCAGATGCTTTGTCTCGCCACCCTGAGTACATGACTTGCCTTGTGGGTTCCTACAATCTCCGTAAAAATTTGAAGGAGTAACTCATTCACCGTACTGCCAAGGATCCGGAACTCAGTCCCATCCTTGAGCAGATTCGGGCTGACCCTAGCAGTCAGCCTGATTTCCATGAGTGCAAGGGCCTTCTCTTCCGACGTTACGGGAAGCATGACCGATTGTGTGTGCCCAACCATGAGCCGATCATGTCTCACTTCTTGGATTTGGCTCATGGTCGGAGTGGACATTTCGGTGTTGAGAAGACCTACGGAAATCTATTGGAAAAGTTTGTGTGGCCTGGAATGAAAAGAATAGCACAAAGGTTTGTGGCTGAGTGTGAAGTTTGTCAACGCATCAAACCGTCTCGACAGAAGCCCCATGGGTTGTTGCACCCTCTTCCTATCCCTGATGGCCCGGGTGAGTCTGTTTCCATCGACTTCACGGACATGGGGAAGAAGAGCAGAAACGATTATTCACAAGTAATGGTGATCGTTGATCGATTCTCGAAATTTCTGAATTTGATCCCCTTGCCACCTCACGCCCCAACTGACCTTGTGATCGATGAGTTTAACAAGAGATACATTCTGCATTATGGCCCCCCGAAAACTCTTGTGAGTGATCGGGATACCAGGTTCATAAGTGCAGATTGGAAAGATTTCACCTCCCAGACCTACGACATGAAACTCAAGATGACGTCTGGTCGACATCCCGAAGCCAATGGACTGGCCGAGGAGATCAACCAGACCGTGATCCCCCTTCTCCGGGCTCTAATTGTACCTGATCAGAACTCTTGGGATGAGGAGTTGCCGATTGTGCAGGGGTTGTACAACAACTCTATTCACTTTTCCTCCGGGATGACACCTAACCGGCTGCATCTTGGATGGAAAATCCACAATCCTCATCTTATCCGTTCCCTGAGCAGCCACCTGGCCTAACACCTGGCCAGCCAGGCTACAGCGCTAAGTTTGATCGCCTGCTCAAAGTTGCTGTCGCAGCTATAGAAAGGCAATGCAGTGCCAAGATTAAACATGCTAACAAAAAGCGCCAGCCTGAACCTTTCACAGTGGGAAGTTATGTCTGGGTCAAAATGTCTGAGTTTTCTGAAGAAGGTGTATCACGAAACCTTCTTCCTCAATACTACGGTCCGTGGATGGTGTTGAACCAGGTAGGGAGTGATTCCCTTGGCCCTTTGTATACGATCGATGTGCCTGCTCATCTGCGCACATATCCAGTCTTTCACGCATCGAAGTTGTTTCCGTATGAATCACCCGAAACTTTCAAGTATCGAGAATTGATGATTCCCCGCGCAATCAATGGCGGTCACGAGATTGATAGGATTGTCGAGCACAGTGGGAAGGGAAGAAACAGACAGTACAAAGTCCATTTTTTGTACCACCCGTTGGATGATTTCTACTGGATTGCTAAGAAGGACTTACTGCAGAGTGCACCGCGTCTCGTTAACGCCTATGAACGATTGATAAGTTCTGAACAGCAACCAAAATTCACTGCTACCCTGACTCCTACGGAACACACCCTATCTCTCTTTGCTATCTACGCCTACGATGCATTGTGCGAGGACTCTGATTGAGTTACTCGCTCGAAGGGACCTCGCTCTTGAGGGGGGGGTAGTGTAATGACCCGTCAAAACACAGACTGAGAACACTGCTGATTTATGAAGTTCTGCCGATGGAATGGATGCCTTGCTGAGATTCCCGCATTCTGTTGTGTTTTCTAAGTCTGTCTGTGTGTGTGTGCTTGTGACCTGTGTGCCTGTCTGAGTGCTTGTCGGTACGAGTGTGTGTGTGACCCGCAAGGGTACTTGCTTGTTTGGCAGGCCCGTAGGGCCGGTACTTACCTGTG